AAAATGTTTAGATCTTGTCTGGGGGAAACGAATAGATGAAGCTGAAGTTTCAGAAAATGGAAAAATATACTGAAGGAGAAAGCGAGAAGAAAGATGAAGGAAAAAAAGAGAAGGAGAAAGGGACTTGCAAGACTGGCTTCCTGTTCTACAGATGGGAAGATAAACCTAGAGGTCTAAGGTCACACAACCAACCAGTAGCACTTGACTTGACCCCTTGGCCCCAGGCTGCACTTCCCCTCACCTGGGACCTGGGGGCAGTGTTCAGTAATCACTCCCCTTCCTAGGCTCCTAAGAAGCCTGGCAATCGGGGAGGCATTTTTCTCTGTCTCTTCTGGGGGACACACATGAGCTAGCAGAGAAAACATCCCTTCCCCACCATTCCTGGCCCACTCTACCCCTGAACAGGGCACAGGTGTGTATGTGACTTCCTCATATTTTAAATAAACGTTGTCACCTTGTCTGTAGTTGGACCTATTCCTAGGCTGCTTCTCTAGCAGGCAAGAACCTGGCAAAAGCGCATTCGTTCCAGTCTAGGCCTTGATCGTTCCAACCACCTCCACGGGAGAGCTGGATTGCATTCCCAAGGCCTAGCTTTAGCCTTGGCCCAGCTCGGCAGGCCACCGGGAGCATCTGGGAAGGAACCAGCAAATGTGAACACTCTCCTGGCTGTCTGCCTCTTAAATAAAATCTCAGCAGTTTCAAATTGGCCATTTACTGAAACTGACTACACGCACAACATGTACAACCAGTATCACCAGTTCCGGAGTACGTCACCACTCCAAAAAGAAACCCCACATCCTTAACTTCATGCCTGACTCTCTGCACGAGGCCCAGCAATCGGTCATTGGCTCTCGGTCACTTTGGGTTGACCTCTCTGTGCATTTCATACAAAGGGACTGCTAAAGTACGTGGCCTTTGCATCTAATTTCTCTCACTTACTGCAATGATTTCCAGGTTTGTTCATGTTGAAGCACATGTGGCTAAGTAATACTCTACCACTGGAATAGAATACATTTGACTTGTGAATTCATCAGTGGGTGTTGGACTCGTTTCCATCTTTTGCTATCGTGAATGGTGCTGCCGTGAACAAGTTCTGCGTACAAGTTCTTGTTTGAACTTTTGCTGTCGAGTCCCTTAAATACATACCAAGCAGCGGAGTTGCTGGGTCAGATGATAATACTGTATTTATGCTAGCAAAAGTTGCCACACTCTTCCCCAGTGCCTTCCCTGTTTCACAGCCCCACTAGCAAGATAAGGGATTCCAATTTTCCTCATCTTCGGCAATGTGGGGTTTTTGTTTTGCTTTGTTTTTGATTTATTTACTTTTACTGGAAAGGCAGAATTATAGAGATAAGGAGAGACAGAGAGAAAGATCTTGCATCTGATGGTTCACTCCCCAAATGGCTACAACGGCCAGAGTTTGAACCAATACAAAGCCAGGAGCCAGGAGTTTCTTTTGAGTCTCCCACGCATGTGCAGGAGGGTCCGAAGGCCTTGAGCCATCCTCAACTGCTCTCCCAGGCCATAAGCAGGGAGCTGGATGGGAAGTGGAGCAGTCAGAACATGAGCCAGTATGGGATGCTGGTCGGTGCTTGCCACAGAGGATTAGCCAATTGAGCCATCACAATGGGCCAACATTTTTTTTTTTTTAAACAGGAACAAAAGAGGGAGGGCATTTATTCATCAACTTCTCTTCTAATTTTACATTTCTTGGAAATCCACTACACTAAAATAGAGAAACAGACTCCTAAGGATGATGGCTCAAGTGTCTGCTGCCACTCACACAGGAGACCAAGATGAGTTACTGGCTCTTGGTCTTGGCCTGACTCAGTGCTGGCTATTGCAGGTGTTTGAGGAGTGAATCAACTGTCGGAAGATCTCTCTCTCTCTCTCTGTTGCTCTGCCTTTCAGGTAGATGAAATGATTGTTTTAATTACAAAGAAGAACATGGACCCAATGCAGTAGCCTAGCCAGGATCCCATATGGGCGTTGGTTCTAATCCCAGCAGCCCCGCTTCCCATCCAGCTCCCTTCTTGCAGCCTGGGAACACAGTCGAAGACAGCCCAAAGCCATGGGACCTGCACCCACATGAGAAACCCAGAAGAGGCTCCAGGCTCCCCGCTTTGGATCCGGTCAGTTCCAGCTATTGTGGCCACTTGGGGAGTGAATCATCGGACAAAAGTTCTTTCTCTCTGTATGTCCTTCTCTCTGGAAA